TATATATATATATATATATTAACAAAGGATAGATTTAAACAAAAGGAAATTTGTTCCTTCTATTTTTTCTTCTTGTTGATAGTATCTCACCTTTTCTCCTGTTATTTCAGGCTATGTTATGAGTGGGCCTTGGATGTGGAAGATGATGTGAGAAATGCCCCAAGACAACCAGTACTGTCATCTGCTCGATAAAGGAGTTACATTGATGTGTTATAGCTTGAGAAACGTAAATATTCTAAATTTATAACGATGATTAAAACATTCCAGTTCATAGCATATTTAAAAATTTATTGTAAAACATGACAAAGGTGTTTTTACAACCACCATATATGCATGTTACTTTATATTAAAAAAAAAAAAAAATGAATGCAGGCAGTTGACTGAAAGGAAATGTATACTATACTAGGAAATGGATTCAATGTGAGAATATTGCTGTTTACAATAATTATTAATCAATATTTGAGGTTTTGTCCAGTTTTTTACAAATTGTATCAACTCCTGTAAACCAGTCAATGGCTCCTGATGTATAATTATTTGTCTAATGGTTGTACTTTAATTTTACTGTTTTTGCAGGTAAATATTCTTACCTGAAAGAGAAATACTTAGTTCCTTCTTTTCCCATAAAGCTGTGCTTTATTATTTTTATCAGGAAATTGTTTTTTGTGTTATTTTGTAAAGCATTTTATATTACTTTCTTTTAATATGTATTCAGTTACCATTAGTACCTGTTCACTTTAATTTTACCATGTAAAATTGTATGGTATGTAAAAACAATTATGAAAGTGCCTTAATGGTACCCGTCCTACCAGTTTTCATTCCACTAATGTTATTTAATGTTGTATCTAGATTCATTAACACAGAGCAGAAGACTTTGTTCAGTTGTCTAGTCGCATAACACAAGAAGCCTTTTGGTTTATTTTTGTAAACATTTTGTAATTATTGTCATGTTCCATTAAGAATATGAGTAAATCTTTAAACAAATCTCTATTGTGTCTTTTAACCTTTAAAAAATGATAAAGAAACCAGAATATAGAAAAGTTTCTTGTTCTAAGAATTTATTGTGAAAATTTTACATTTTAGGAATATACTACAATCAATCCACAAAATTGTAAAAAAAAATAGGGACTTTTTTCTATTAAAACAAAAGTAATATTTTATCCAATCTCATTATACTTTTTGTAACTGAGCAAATTATTTGGAGCATTCCTTGGGTGAATGGGAATATGCCAAACCACTGTTGAGCGTGGATATATTTTTCATTATTACCAAAGGTTACATAAAGTCAAACCACTTTATGGCTCATGCCTTTACTAAGCCTTCCAGAATTTTGATCTCCTTTGCATACCCTTCATTACTTGTCCAAGGGGTTTCCAGAATAAGGGGCACATCATTGAAGTAACTGCAATTCATGATCCTGCGAAAGCCTTCTATGCCAATGGTGCCTTTACCAATGTTCTCATGGCGGTCTTTGTGGTCTCCAACTTTTCCTATGAATCAAAAACAGTAATAAATAATAATTTATACCTAAAAACAATAACAATAATAATTATTATTGCTCTTATTATCATTATCATTATCATCATTAACCCAATGCCACTGGGGATG